ATTAATTTGAGGTTTTTTTAAAAATTTAAAATTTTGTTTGCCCTCTAGACATTATATATAAATTGAGATATTTTAAAAATTGTACATCAATTGTTGGTCACTTGAAAGGTGAAAGAATTGTTGGCCTTTTGAAAACTGGACACGGATTTTCGGTTATTTAAAGACCGATCTTTTTGAACTAGTAAATTTAATTGCTAATCATCCCACTGTGCATCACTATTCACAGTTCTACCAGTTCTGGAAGCAAGTTCACTGGTAGAATGCGCTTCGACGTGTGGCAACAACATACAATAATGATTGTTTGCAATCTGCACACAGATTTAGCAACAAACATATGTACATACATACATTCATCCTACAAAAAGAATATGTATGTATATATGTAAGCACCTAGTCAAAGTTTGCCCAAAGCTACGAGCAGTGTTGCCAGAACTTTATGGGCCGACCGGCTATATTGGCAAAAAAAGCAGCTAAAGACGGCTTAAATGTTTCAACCAAAACTCAAATGTTTTATTTAAACAAATCGCAATTTTTACAATACGTAGCAAAGCTTTACACCACTCGCTGAATAAAGCACAAAAATAGAGACTGGTAAATCCATTGCAAATTATTTTTGTTTAACAAAAGAAAGTGTCGTTATCAGAATGTCGAAAAAGAGATCAATTACAAACTTATGGCGTTTTATTTTTTATTAAAAAATTTTGCCTTACATTGTAGCATTTGCATTGGGTTACTTTTCGTCCTATATTAGTATAAAGTAGTTTGCTTAGTCGGAGGGCAATATTTTGAGAAATGAATACGTGAAGCTTTGAAAGGGCTGGAGAAAACATGGCAACATTATTTCGAAAAAAGAAAAAGATTTTAATTTATATTGAACAAGCTTTTTAAGATTTTAACAATTCTACTATTTAATTGTATTTTGATGTCTATATATTCGAAACTCCTCTTTTTAATGTTCTACTCACTCTCTCACATGCCTGTCTCAGAGCAATAATAAGCAACAATAAAGTATGTTGGCACCCTGATACAACTATTCACAAATATTGTCTTCCCATAGAGTTTTGCTTCACATCGATATTCGTGCTTTTTTATAATAAAACTTTTTATAATAAAACTTCGCACTTAAATTTAAGCCTATCATAACATAAATTTTATAAAGAAAGTTCCCGCTACGTCCCCAGTGACCCAAAAATAAAATGGGACGCAAGATTTTAGCAAGTGTTGGCTATTTTTATTTAGTTTATTTAATGTTTATTATTTTTTATAAAAATATAGCTGATTACTCAACGAACACCATATAAGTATCAACTTAAGACTTTGTGCAAATATTGCAAGAACTTTTAACTTTTTAATCAGCGTATTTAAAAAGTGGTATGCATTCAGTTTTGTAGTCCATTAAAATTTGGTATAAAATGGTGAAAATTTTAAGTAGCTAGGACTTGCCGTTGATTTTTGTAATTTTTTTATAACGGTGTTATGAATTTTTCCCATACTTAATATCGAGCCCTAACCGGTAAAATAACGTAAGCGACATTTTTTTCAAAATTTTATTTTTGATGCAGAAATGCATCTAGATGCTCTAGGAATATTTTTGCATCAAAAAGAAAATTTTTAAAAAAATGTCGCTTACGTTATTTTGGCGGTTAGGATTCGATATGTTCTAAAATTTTTTATATGGAGAAAAATGTGGAACACCGTCAGCAAAAAATTGTCCATAATCAACGGTAAGTGCCAGCTATCTTAAATTTCCTCCTTAGTATACTAAAATTTTAAATTTAAAAAATGCAGAATTTTCATAATTTTTGCATAAAACATGAAATTTGGATTTAAATGGTGTTTGTAAGTAATCAGTTATACTTTCATAAAAAAATAATAAGCTGAAATGTCGCGTCCCAGTTCATATTTGGGTAACAGTATATTCACATAAAATAAAAATCATTGAAATCGGCCCACACAGTCCGACATAAAAATTTTCTCCGAGAAAGGCTAGCAGTTTCTAATAGATTTAAGGTCGCCAAATATGTAAAAATGGAAACTTATAATAAATAGCGAAATCGGCTAAAAACGGCTATATTTTTTTGCATAACGGCTAACGAATCGGCTGCCGGCGAAATCGAATTTTCTCCGGTTTTTGCTATCACAACCGGCTAAATCTAGCCGAAAAACGGCTAAAATGGCAACACTGGCTACGACTATGAAGTCCATATTACATATGAACACATCCATTTACCCATCAGTGTCTACGTTTGGACCCTATGGTTGTAGGTAGAAATAAATAAGTAAATATACGACAGAGCAAACAATAATGTACGGACGTATGTACATACAAACATATGCATGTCTGTTCGTCATACGATCGCACGACAACTAAAATAGCACACTTTATCGCAAACGAACTTCATCGAGGCTCCACATTGCTCCAGTGTAGAGGTGGGGCAGGCAGCGGGAGCAGTCGGTTATTCAGGCAGTTAAGTTAAGTTCCAAAAATAGCCTAGCAAGCAAGTGGTTGTGTCGTCGTCGTCGATTGTTGGTTGTTGAGAACAAATGAAAATGAAAATAAATGGATACCCATATTTAGAGAAAGAATGTTGTTGGCGGCGGCAACGAGAACGCGACAGCCGCGGCTAGCCGGTCTCATCGGCGGTAGGCGACCGGCCATCCACATAATACCCAACAAATATGCTAATTGAGAGTTGGTAGAAGAGAATGAGTTGATATATATGTATGTGGTTATATGCATTTATGTATGTGCGTATATGTATTAACACCGCGAATGAGATAAATGCTAAAGGAAGTTTAGTTAACGATTGCATTGAAATGAATGGAAAGCATGTGAAGTGTGTTTAAATTTAGATTTCACTAGTTTAATGACATAAACAAGTATGAGGAATTCAATTATGTATGTAGAATATTCCAATGCGGGTCACTGCAACTCAATGCAACTGGTAATTTACTAGTTATGTATGTATTTATGTACGAATATAAATATAGATTTACATGTTTATATATACAGATGCATGCATTCTTACGTGGAAATAGTTAAGCTATTTTTATACTCTTTGGTTAATTTTATCAATTTAAAGTACATACATACCTAGAACGTATCTATGTACGAACGCTGGGAAATTAAACCTTCATACCTATGTAGGTACAATATTTAATAATTTATGGTCAAAGTGTCATTAATTTTTAATTAAACTGAACATCATTTGATCATTTGAAAACTTGGAATAAAATTGGGGAAACTTAAAAACCGGACATAATATTTTGGTACTAAAGAGTTGGAACAAAATTTTTGGTCATTTAGAACTGAACATAAATTTTGGTCTTGTGAAAACTGGACTTAATGTTTAGTTATTTTCAAACGAAATATGATTTTTTTATCATTTAAAAACTGAACATATATTTTTGTTTGTTTGTAAATTGGACATAAACTTACAAACCGCGCATACTTTTTGACTCTTCGAACAATTTGACATAGATTTATATTCATTTAAAAGTTGGACATAATTTTTTGGTCATTAAAAACCGGACATACATTTTTTTTTCTATTAAAAATTAAGGCATATGTATGTATGTACATCTTTGGTAATTTAAAAACTGGATGTAAATTTAAAAACTGGCCATAATTTTAAAAGTTGGACATACATTTTCGGTCATTAAAAAGCTGGACATAATTATTCTCCCTTTAAAAGATTTGGGCATAGTAATATTAGACTGGCGCTTATCACGAAAATATGTTAGTGTTTGGCCAAGCTTCTCTTCCGATTTGTGGGTTGTTGTCACGCAAAGCGGAGGAACCTACATTCTAACGCCACCTGCGAACGGTGATTGTGTTTTTATGAGAAGCCATTTTTCATGGCTATTTTAAAGATTTGAACATACACACCTACATATGTTATATTTTTGGTCATATAAAAACTGGACATAAATTTCAAAATTGATCATAACTTTCAACGCTTTAAAAAATTGGTCATAAAGTATTGGTCTGACAACAACTGTACATCAAACATCTATATTTTTGCTAATTTAATAACTGGACTTAACTTTCAAAAATGGGTCATAACTTTCTATGCTTTTAAAAATTTAACATTAATTTCTGGTCACTTAAAAAGTATACAGTTACTCAGGGTATATACATATGTATATACTCGTTAAGAACCGATATGTCAAAAATTTAAATACTTATCTGGATAAATCGCCTACCTAGATCTAAGGTGCGATCAGCTCACTGATTTCTGTAACTCGGTACACCCTGTTAACTGGATAAAATTTGATAAATCGATAGATAGTGATAAGTCGATAAACTTATATAATCCAAAAATTTCGATAACCCGATATATGTACTTTGAAAATTGCAAATGCTTCGATTCGAAAAAAGGCACAAACTTCAAAAACCATCAACAAATTTGGATAAGGCAACAAATATCGATATATGGCGATAACTCGATAAACTTTGCTAACTCTATAATATTCAATAGTTCGATAAATACCGATAATTTATCAAAAATTTAGATAACTTAATAAATTTCAATAGCTTTGGTAGAAGTTTGATAATCCGATAAATTTATATATTTCGAAAACTTTTGTAAATTTCGACAACTAACTTTTTATATTTGTCTCGATAACTAAAAAAAAATTTATCAATTTGAACAACCCCATACATGCCGATAACTCAATAAACATGGATAACCCGTAAAATTTCGATAGTTAAATGCCTCGATGATTCAATAAATTTCGACGAAAAATTCCAATAAATTTATGAAATTACTTAGTAAAAGAAAGGCCATCCCCCCACCATTATCATCGCACCGCACCGCTCGACAATAAAATTCAAAGCTTTATGATTTAAATACATATGTACATAGCTATAAACTAATTCCTTTATTTTTTCACTAATATCAATCTCCTAAAAACAAAATACAAGTAATAAATCTGCTTTAGCTACTCTTTCGCATCCACATTTCTATCGCTTGTCCTCTACTTCGATTCCGATTCCAGATCATTTCCTTTTCAATATTGGTAGTATTGATTGGGGTTGAAGCCCATACCAGCATAGCCAGCAGGCAGAGGAGCGACGTAAGCTGGAATGGGCGCTGAGTAGGCACCGGCTGAACCGTATGAAGCTGCGGCGGGAGAGGCGCAAGCAACTGGAGCCAAGTTAGGTTGACAGCTGAACAGGTAGTTCTTGGGGCAAGGAGGTGCTGGAATGCTGGGAGCGGCACCATAAGCGGATTTACGGAAACGTGTTAAATCGTAGGCAGCTTGCTGATTCTGTTCGGCTTGGGCTTCCTGGACGCTAGATGTGGCAGCCGCATTACCAGCTGGGCTAGCCAAGGCAACGCTGAGGATGGCGGCGACTAGAGCAATGCAAACGAAGGATTTCATCTTGGCTGGTAAGTTTGACTTGAGTACAAGTGACTGGAACTGTGTAGCTACTAAAGTGAACTGATGATTTAGGATAGCAAACAGTGGGTTTTTTATACTCGTAACTACAATGCTTTTTTGGTGCTACATATTGGCTTGTCATCGAACTCGATACTTGGCGGTTGGCGGTGGGATTTTTGCTGAAGTCGGCGAAAATTCTTTAAAAGCGCATAATGTTTTGTGGAGCTGCGCATTTTTTTTGTACAAAATATATGTTTTGTTCGTGTTATAATTTTTTTTCATGCAAATTCGAGCATGAGTCGAAGGTTTATCCGGTTTATATAAAAAAAACTGATTCCGCATTTTTTTATGCATTAAGTGCATTCACTTCTGTAAGTGGTAAGTTTTTGTTCTATTTTTACGCGAAATATGAAACGGTCGGTGCCTTGACATTTTTTGGACATAATTATGCTTTCTGTGCGATTTTATTTATTTGTTTTTTTGTTTTGAAATTTTCTGCAAATTAATGATTTGTTTTTTTCAGTGGTTAAACCAAAACGAATATATATTTTAATTTAAATTAAAATACCAACTTATGTCGGTCGTCAACCTTAACGTGCGCAGTTTTAGAGTCAACCACGATTAGTCATTCGATGTTTGAAAAAAATAAGGATCTCAATTACTGTTGAAAGAAATAAAGTTTTAACCAGATACCCAGAATAATTACTGAATGGTGGACTTTTAAAAAGGTCAGCCAAATTTCTGTAAGGGTTATACAAGTATTTTGATAATAATTATGAGTTAAAAAAATTTTTAAATTTATCGACAACTGTCATTTTGAGACTTTAATTAAAAAAAAAAATAAATAAATAATAAAAAGTGGCAGCCACTCTTAATTTAATCTAACCTATGTATATTGCAAAAGGCTTTTCATAATAATTATAAGTGAGGAAACATTGCTTGAGCCATAAAGGACGAGACTAGCTAAGGACATTTTCGGGACCATATCAGGACTTTTTCGGGATCGGCACCAATTTGAGCCTGTGAGTCCTATAAATTGATTTATGCAAAAAAATCGCCCAAAATTTTTTTTGAGTTGACCGCATTTTAGATCTATGTGTGCGATATGTTCCCAACGTACATAGTACATAGTGCGGCAGAACATCACAGTAGCTTCGTCTACTGCTTTAGAAAAGGGTCGAATTGGTTTATATGCTGCCAAAAATGTTACTCAAGCGCTTGCGGACTAAGTAAGCCGCTTACACTATTTTTTATATATTAAAAAAAAATCAAAAATAATTGACAGGCAAATACTGAGGAACGACTTTACCGATTTGAATATTTTTCTTTTGCTTGTTCGTTATAATATCCGGTCTAATCAAAATTAGAGAGTTGCCACCAGTTTGAAAATTTCAGTTTAAGTAAATTGATAACATAAATTAAAATATTGCAATATTGGTGTCAAAAGAAAAAAGCTTAAGAAGGCTTACAGTCGAAAACATTCTTTAGTAGGGTTGCCACCTGTTTGAAAAATGGTATTTAATTCAATTGATGGGACAAATTATATACATATTATGATACGTGTATCCAACTAAAAAGTTTGAAGAAGGCCTACGGCATAAAATATTTTTGAGCAGGGTTGCCACCTGTTATATGATATAGGTGCAAAATTAAAAAGGTGTAAACGCATTGTCATCGGTTCGAACTTGTTACC